TTGATAAGAGAATTGAGAAGATACAACTGTTATAGAGAATTGAGAACAGAGATTTCTCACAGCAATATGACTAGGTAGTACATTGTCTTTGCTTTGCTCAGTGGGTTTGTATAAAACCGTGCTTCTCTAAAAGCCTACAAAATATGGGAAGCAATGAGGAAACCAGTGGTGTTTCACTTGCTAATAACATTTTCCCACCACGCAAGCTGATAGGCCTACAAAATTAATTATCAATGCTGGACATTCAAGGTTAATACAGCAAATGCCACTTCAGTTTTCTCCAAGGGAGTATGAAAGCATATTGAAGTAGAGAAACTTTACAAAAAGGAAATACCACATAAACGCACATCAGCATTTTTTTCAAGGATAAATTTGCAAGAGGAAATGCTAGAACAGAATTCATGATCCAATTCCTGAAGTTTCTCCTTCTACAAAATGGAGCAAAAGTACACTTTAGTAAGGTGGTTTGACTGGAAGAGTTTTGCCCATTAAATGCTAAATTTAACCCAGACTATTCACATGGATGATCTCTGATGAAATGCAAGTACTTGGCTTATGGTATATGGAGTATTCTTTATATATATATATATATATTGATTTCAGAGTGGAAGGGCGAGGGAGAGAGATAGAAACATCAATGATAAAAGAGAGTCATTGATCAGCTGCCTCCTACACACCCCTACTGGGAATCAAGTCCATAACCTGGGCATGTGCCCTGACCAGGGATGGAGCCTGGGACCTTCTGGTTCATGGGTCAATGCTCAGCCACTGAGCCACACTGCCAGGCCTGGGTATTCTTTGAAGAAGATGTCTGAGTCAAACCTAAGTAGTTGTCATAGTTAGCCTCATGTGAGCTGTGTAGAAAGGCAATGTGAGGAGAGGATGATTTCCTAGTGATTTTCATCCACATGGGATTATTGGGCTCCTCTGCACAGGTGTAGACAGCTCCTAGCATTACTGCAAAGGAGCCCAGAATGTTGGAGGAGGCAGGAGTGCAGGTGGGGCAGGACCTGTATCATGTTTGGATAAAAGGCCCACCATCATGACAGGCTTCACAATCCTGCTTTACCACTACCTCTCAAGCTGTGGTTCCCAGTTAGAGGTGATTTTGCCTCCCCCAGGGGACAACTGTTAATGTCTGGAAACATATTTGGTTGTCACAGTGGAGAGGGGATAGGTGCTACTGGCATCCAGTGAGCAGGAGCCAGGAATGCAACAAAACAGCCTTCAGCACACAAGACAACTTCCCATATCAAAGAAGCATCCAGCCAAATGTCCGTAATGCCAAGACTGCCAACCAACTCTATAAGTCTTCAGACCTATATGAAATGCACCTTAAAAAACTGCTGGAAATGGGGTTGCCAGGTAAATTACAGAATGCCCAGTTAGATCTGAATTTTAAATAAGCAACAAATTATATATATATATATATTTAAAAGGTTCATATGCAAAGTGTCCCTGCAGGAGTTTGGGAGACTGGGAGTTCTATCACTCACTATGATGTGCACTGACCACCAGGGGGCAGCACGGAGAGAAGGAAGGCCCTGGCCAGCAGCCGGCAGCAGGGGAAGGGAGGCCTAGGCCGGCAGCCGGAAGGCCCCAATCGGCCCTGATCACCAGCCAGGCCTAGAGACCTTACCTGTGCACGGATTTCATGCACCAGGCCTCTAGTTTTAGCATATTTATGTCCCAAATATGACGTGTGACATTATATTATAAAAATGATGCCTCGCCTGTCTGAAATTCAAGCTTAGCTGGCATCCTGTATTTGTTTGTTAAACCTTGCAGCTCTGGGTCAGAAGCCTCCACATCTGAGGGGGCCTACCGAAGTGATGATTTCCCGCCCCTCCTGGGCTCCAAGGCAGGATGAGCTGCTTGCCTCTTTGGTCAGAGCCCAGGACATACGTTGGGCCACGTTTGACAATGAGGGGAAGGGAGCCGGGCTACATCAGCTCCAAAGCAGGACTCTGGTATTTCCCTCGGCCAGGTTTACAGGGTGCCTACTGCCTTGACCTGCACTGGCCCTGCCTCGGTTTCTCTGCTTCACATATTCCACTGGCAACCGAGGAGGCACCTCAGCCAAGCGTCTTGATTCAAGAGGTTGGAAGCAGAAGTTCTCACTTAAGCCTTGAGATGGGAACCACATTTTCTAAATCAGTCTTGGCCAGAAAGACTCATCTCGAGAGGTGCCCCGGAGCCCCTCCTGTGCCTGGCACCTGGTCAGCCCCTCATCCACATTCCGAAGGAGGTTCCAGAAGCAGGGATTGTTTTTCATCAGTCCACAACACTGCAGCCGAGCAAATGCATTCTGATACTTAGAACTTTTATCTCAAATGCTCTGCAGAAATCAAGGTCACAGTAACCTCTTTTATGGTTTATTGTTTCTCAAATGTACTTAGAGGGAATTTGCAAAGCCACAGCTTGTTTTGCGGGTACAGAGCTTTCGCGAGGTTCAGCACTCTCTGACATCCTCTTTGTTTCCTCTTTCAGCACTTTCTGCGTATGGGTCCTCATTTAATATCATTTCCCGTAAATTTCAAAAAAATTAAATAGAAAAGAATATTGAACAAGAGTCCCCGGGTAGCTAAGCTCCTCGT